CTCTCTCTCTCTCTCTCTCTCTCTCTCTCTCTCTCTCCCTTTGTGATCTATTTTCTTTGTTAGAGATACTCTTTCGATCTTGTAACTAAAATAAATTGGCTTAGTCACTTCCCACTCCCCAAAACCAAAATAAAAAAGAGCCCTGGAAAAGAAAAAAGGGAAAATGGAAGGTATAAGTAGGGTGGGGATGTATGGTCTTTATTACATATTGATTATTTTGTTCAATGTGACGATCTCAGGATCGCTCCACTGGTCGTTCTCGCGGTTTTGGATATGTTACATTTGCAGCAGCTGAAGATGCAAAGGTGAACACAATTTGGACGGACATTTGCTCAAATCTTGTATTACTTTTTGTTGTTTTGAGCTCTATTTGTCAACTTGGATGTTAAATTGAAATTCTTATGTTGTAAAGCTGGGTTTATGCATGATTCAGTATTTTCTAATCTGTTTGTGCACGTCACAGGGTGCCCTAGCAAGTGAGCATATGCTTGGAAATAGAATGCTGGAAGTCAAGATAGCCACTCCAAGGGTTACATTCTTCAATATTTAATTGTGTCATATACTTTACATGTGTTTGCTAGTTATTTCCTTCCAATTTTCCCCACTCCTTGATGTACCAACTTGTTTCTGCTGATTGATAGTCTGTTGAAAGTTGTAGTAACTTCCATGTTTGATATTATTCTTTACATCCTTCTAGATCATCTTTTTAATTTTGGAAAATACTTTTGTCAGAATGACGTTTCAGGTCAGATGGATCTGAAGTTTCAGTTTTTTGGATGGTTCTTTCAGATTTTTAATTCCTTTTGATTTACATTGTTATTTTCATTAATTTGAGGGATCTTTTTTAAGGGGTTATTTATCGTAGAGTTTTCTATTTTTTGGTAATTGTTTAGGTGACCGTTTGACTAGACTGTGCAGCTTCAATTTTTACAGGAGGAGATGAGAACATCTTCGAAGAAGGTAACCAGGATTTTTGTTGCAAGAATTCCACCATCTGTAACTGAATCTGCTTTCAGGAGGTAGCTTTTTGCGAAGTTTGCCATGTGGACTTATGGTTAAATGACTTAAATCTTGAATATGCGGAACAGTTGATTATTTTTATTGGAGTAGAAATCTGACTGCATCCTGTATCTTCTCATGCAGTCATTTTGAGAATTATGGTGACATAACAGATTTATACATGCCTAAGGTTCTACTTGTCTCCTATCCTCCCTGAAACACGATATTTATGTATTATAGTGAATGATGTGATTTATTTTATTTTCTTAGGATCCATCCACCAAAGGCCATCGTGGAATTGGATTTATAACGTTTGCTAATGCTGGTAAGTTTCTTTTGTTGCTAGTGTTGGCGCTACTTGGGGAATCAGCTGGAACGTTGTGCATTGAAGTGTTACTTGTTTTGCACGAGTTTCATTATACGTGAAACAATGCTATTCCTTACACACAATATTAAACAATTTTATCTCCATATCTGGTCTTTTCACAGAGGCAGTAGATGATCTGATGGCAGATACCCATGAACTGGGAGGTTCAACTGTGGTTGTGGACAGAGCAACCCCTAAGGTAGCTTTCAGCAACATATGTGTGTGTGTGTATATATATGTGTGTGTGTGTGTGTGTTTTGTGTGTATGTGTGTGTTTTGTGTTTAGACTTTAGATTATTATATTTTCTTGTGTTAGCATTTCTTCATAAATTTCCAGCACAGTCCTCTTCCTATAATTATTTGCTAGCCTCTTCACCATCATATACTATAGGCAAATTTAGGGGGAAATGACCTAAACATATATAGGAAAAAATTAGTACAACTTCTTGCATGCAAAAGATCAGGCAGTCCAGACCTGGCTTAAAAGAACTTCATCTAACAAGTATATATATATGCCTTGCTGGTTTGGAGGCATGCTATCCCATTATTTACAATAACACACACGAACACATGCATTTCCATATGCAATGGATCCGGATGGGATGTCCTTCTCTTTTCTTTTTCAGTTTAGTTAATTAACAACAACAACAACAACAACAACAAAGCCTTTTTAGTCCCAAACAAGTTTAGTTAATTAACGTAATTTTTTATTATTGTAATTTTGCGTATAACAGTGTTTTATATTTTTACTACTTGCAAGTGATTCATGTCTTTGTGTTTGACTATACAACTGTAGGAGGAAGATTACAAAGATTACAGGCCAGTTAGTCGAGTGCCCCATGGTGGGGGTGGGTATGGCGCTTACAATGCTTATATTGATGCTGCTACTAGATATGCTGCCCTTGGTGCTCCAACCTTGTACGATCATCCTGGTCCCATGTACGGAAGTAAGTTCTTTGCTATAAGCATGTTTCACATTCCAAATATCAGGCAACTTTATCTCAAAAGTCTTCATACAATCTTACAGGACAAACACCTCGTGGGATGGGCAAAAAGATCTTTGTCGGTAGGCTTCCCCAAGAGGCTACTACGGAAGATCTTCGTCACTATTTCGCAAGATTTGGACGTATTTTAGATGTTTATATCCCAAAGGTAAAAATAGGTGTGATTTAACTAAGGTCTAATAGTTCTTTCTAATACATTGTCATGCTATTTTGTAGGACCCGAAGAGGAGTGGTCATCGTGGGTTTGGTTTTGTGACGTTTGCTGAGGATGGTGTCGCGGATCGTGTTGCCCGAAGGTCTCATGAAATTTGTGGGCATCAGGTTTGACACTGCCGAACCATGACCTGTTGCATATGTGTGTGTGTGTGTGTGTGTTTTCCAAGAATGAGAACTGCATAGATTTAGGACCACTGCTGACAGTACAAATTCTTGGATGCCTAGAGACATATGTGAATTTTTTTATTCTTGTTTGAGCCTATATTAGTCGGTCTGCTTTTTTCACTCATTCATACTTATGGCAAATGGTTGTACTATTTGAATTTTTTATTTTTTATTTTATTTTATTTCATTTTTTGACAGTTTCTTTGTACTTATTTGATGTTGATAAATTGGTACTGTGGGTCTATTTCAAAACCAAGGCTACTTCAAAGTTTTTATAGCCTTGTACTTAGGAGTTGCTGCAGATTTTCTAACAATAAGTGTCCATTGTTTGGCTGCTAGTCAAAACTGATCTAATGATGCTTTACAACCTTCTGGCAAACAGTACTACAATGCAACTATGGGGTTTCAAGAGGGTGCTCAGTAGTAAATTTGTTGAAGTGCTTGTAGAATATTAATTGGTAATCGTGGGTTGATTTGTAGAATGAGCAAACCTTACTCTCTACGATTTACAGGTTGCTATAGATTCAGCTACACCAGTTGATGATGCTGGGCCTGGTCCAGGGCATGGCCCCCCTGCTGGACCTGGACCTAGTGGTAATTTTATGATGAATAATCTTGAACAATTTGGGTATGGTGCACCTATGAGGAGTTATGGCAGAATGTACGGGAGCCTTGATTTCGATGATGTGAGTCAAAGTGATTATTTTTTACTGGTTTGCAGTATTAATTGTTAAGCTCCATGTAAATTTGTTTACTTAGTTATCTATAGCTGTATAGCATCTCTGCCTCTTCCTTTTGTTTTATCTTTTTTATCTTCTGCATGGTTTTCAGTAATGCATTTGCATTCAATGACTTCAGAAAATATTGTACTTACAGAAACCTGAACTTTGCCAGCAAATAGAAATATTAGAATCCATGTGGCTTGCATTCGAACGCTTTTTCCTAGGACGTGGTGGAGGGACCGTTTTTTTCTCTTTCCTACATGTTAGAATATGCTAATTCGATTTAATTTACAGTGAAGAATTAACTTAAGATTAGCATTACAAATACTGTTGCCGGTATATTTCCTTCCCAAAAATTGAAAACAGAACATTCAAAAGAAAAAATTGTCCTTTTCTTTTCCATATGTGCATTTTGTAGTTTGTTAATGGAATTGATGATCAAATGTGAACGATGGAAAAAAGCTGGGAGCCGAGGTTTGCGTTATGCATGACACGAGTCATGCTTTTTTTCTTTATTATTATTATTATAAAAAAAAAACTAATTGTTTTATTTTATTTCCCATGTAATGGCAGTGGGGTTATGGTGTGGGTGGCAGTATGAGCGGAAGTGGCGGCAGGTCATCACGTTCAGAATACAGGTATCGGCCATATTAATGACAACAAATACAGACAATTTATCCGAAGTTGCTGCGTGGATTTACAGTTATGAAGTGTGTTTTTACTTTGAAGTTTAACCAGCCATTGCACTCTGAAGACCAATGTTTGTGTTTTTCATAACTGGCTCTGGTCTGGTAGAAGGCCAACATTTGTAGCCAAAAAATACGAGAATTTTAGTCGAAATGTTTTCGATACGAATATCATCCTGTTGATGCTTCAACTTATTCAGTGGTACAATTTGGTTGCTGCAATTTATTCGAACTAATTACAACTTTATTTTATCTGGTTTCTCTGCAGTTTGATTGTTTCATTTTCTGGGGCTATTTTTTCAGGCTACTTTTATGTTAAATAACTGTATTAAATCATGACATTTTTTAAAAAATAAATAAATCAGAATTTAAATTAAATGCTTCAAATAGTATTTCACACGTTCGGTCTGAAGATTCTAGAACTTCTGATTATTGGTTTGATTGAACTCAAGACCCACCTACCTGGATCACAATATCACAAGGACAATAATTCATTTATTTCTACAAAATTTGAACAAATGGGCCGGGCCCCTACTGATGGACATTTCATGAGCCACATATGTCTTGGGCTTTCATCAAGATATGAAAATGTGGGTCCTACATTTTTATTTTTTAATTTTTTTATTTGAAGGGAATCAATCAACGCTTGCTGCAAAGAAAACATGTACAGGATGAACAAATCCTGATGTATATACAAAACCCTTTGCCTGAAGGCCTTGGAGGTTGGTCCGAGAGCAAGTCTCTCATGGCCTGAGCTTTCGCATGTGCCCCTTTAACCTTGTTCATTATTCTGTCCATCGAGGCCGACCTCTTCTTTTCTAGTTTCATCTGACACAAGCAAATAGTTGTTAAATGTCGTAAACAAAACGCTATTCTTGAGAGCAACTTAGAGAGGATATCACAAACTATCATTCGATACACCCGAATCAAAAAACGAGTTTCAATAGTTGTTTTATGTTGTTTCCTTTGAAGTATATGGCATTTTCATTAGTATGTCTCACTACTCTGTTAGGCAAACTGAAAGTCAGCTTGATAGTGTATTAAAGGGCCCTAAATGATAAATACAAATGCTGCTACCTCTAAAGGTTTAGCCTAATGATAAAAAAGAGTTGCAAAATTTCTAATACTTATTTGGTTATGGTTATGGTAGAGTTAGTTTTTTGATGCCATACAAACCTCAAGTTTCCGAATGGCAGCCTCAGCTTTTGCCTTCTGCAAATTCTCCCAAGCAGTTATCTTCGCTTCTTCCCTTTGCAATCTGATCGAGTAAACAAACAACACACACTAATGATTTACAAGACATCCGAGTGATAATTCAAGTCTCGAAACTTGCACAAAGTTCTCCTAATCTAACCAGTTTATGATCTTTAAAACAATAAAACACTCCGCCTGCACGAGAATCAGTTCCCCATGCCTCGTAATCACAAACCATGAGAGTTTTTTCTTTAGTCTTTAGTAATTCACACATGCTATTTAGGTTATATTTGGTAAAAATAGTTGTTTTAAGCTAGCTTGTAGCTTATAAGTAATTTTCAAGCTTATAGTTTATAGCGTATGACTTATAGCCTAAAAGCTAGCTTATATGTTAAAAGTGTTTAGTAAATTTAGCTGATAAGCTAGTTGTAATAAAAATTTAAATGGCTTATTTGAAATACTATCTAAAGAAGCTTTATGAGATAAGCTCGAGCTTTTAAAAAAATTCGTCCTACCAAACGAAACATATTTGAATATAGCAAGCTTAAAAGCTAACCAAATATGCTATAAACTAGCTTATTTGGCTACCGAACATAGCCTTAATTCAGAAAGAAGGACAATGTAATCGTACTTGGATATGTCTTTCGATGGTTCAGCAACATTCCAAGAATTCAAGCCCTCGACATTCGATGAGCCCTTCTCCTTCTCCTTCTTCTTGTGTCCTTTTTTCTTCGGGTGCCTAGTGATAGTGGTGGTGCCTTTGTCCACTTGGACATCTCTAATTTCATCCTTTGCAGATGGATTTTCGTGCCCACGCTTCTCTGAAGTAGGAATTGGGCGAGACAAATTTGAAAAAGATAGCCTTCCCATTGAAGACGAACGATTGCTACCTTGGGAGCTCATTTGAGTTGCCATATCCCGACGTGAAAGTTGACCTTCGTCCTCCTTCGAACCATCCATTTTACCGTCTAAACCATTCAGATCTGAAGTTAGTAACAATCATTTTTAAAACATAAATAAGAGAAAAAGGAAGAACAAGACACTACAAAAAGAAGTGTGTAAACTCCATACAAGAAATAGTAATCTCATTCTATGATCAACAAAAACAATTTTTTACCTCGAGAACTTGGCAGGGAACCCTCACTAGCCAAATCCGACAAGCCCGGCCCACTCCCACACCTCGGCAAGCTATTACCACCCTCACAATACAAAGAACCGGGCTTCACGCCGGGCCCACTTCCATAGCCAACGGCTAAAACTCGTTCAGGGACCAATACCCCAGTCGTGAGGGGCGAGTTGGTCACGGCGAACCTCCTAGCAGTACCACCCCCGCCCTCGAACGCTCCAGGGCCCGCAGGCCCCAGCGGCCCACTCTTCGACTTGGGCCTCCGGTAGTGGGCCTGGGCGACCGGGCTCCTGAGAAAACCTCCATGGCCCGATATGGGGCTGGTGATCCATCGCTCGGCATCGTCCCACTTGGAGGGAGGGGCCCGCCCGCTGCTGAACGGCATGAGCGCGGCTGTATGCCTCCGGCTGCTGATGGGCAGCGGGACCCGCTCTGAGCTCCATGTCTTCGGCATTTTGTCGTCCGAGCTGTTGAGCCCGTACTCGGGCGTACCCGGGCTGGTATACGGGCCGGAGTTTCTGAATGAGGATCCATAATTTCTCATGATCTTTTTTTTATTTTCCCTCTCTGTCTTGTCTTTTGTTTGCCAATTCACTTATGTTTTCGATTGAGGCCGGATTCAGGCCAAAATCCTATTATAAGTGATGAAGAATTCAAAAACTCAAAGATAAAAATCACATCTTTGCTAGCCAATTTCAATGGTTTCAATCAAATACCCACAAAAATCAACAAAGAAAAACCTTCTTTTTTTTGGGAATAGAACTGTAACCATTCAAGAAGGGAGTGGCATGATACATCACTGAACAGTGGGTATATATGTCTGCACACAGTACACAAGCAAAATAGCTCCAAAAATGGTCCAATTTTCTGAAAATTTGGTTATGGGCGTGGCTCATGGACCACACATGAAAGCTCGTGATTTTCTTGTGATGCCAAAAGGACATCATCATATCAAAATCGGACCAGAAAAGCACACACATATAACAAAGACCACAAATGGGACCAGAAAAAAATTTTCAAAGCAAAAAAAGGAACTAAAAAAGAGTTGCTCTTTCCCACAGAACTTTTACCTCTGATTGGGCCAAAACCCAGCAAACAGTGCTTGGTGATTGTTAAGAAAAAAGGCAGCTTTCTTCAAGTTCTTGCCTTTTGTACTTGCCCTCGAACTTTCTCTGGATAATAATACCTTTTCCTGTTCACCTTTGGTGATTGTTAATCGTGGTGGGATAATGAGATGAGGCTAAAAAGGGTTTCTCTTTCTTGGGGTGGACGGAGAAAGGAAACAATCAAACAACTAGCTTATGCTAAAAAAAAAAATGGTTTTAAAAGCATTTGTTTATTGAGAACAAGATTTTATATGTGTGAAGTGTGAAGGCACACAGTTGAATTTTTTTCTTGCTGACCTGAGAAGACTGAATCAGATTTTGTAATTTGAAAAAAATTTGGGGAGGATTTTAATTGGGGAAAAGGAAAGAGGGGCAAACTCAGTGTTGAATTTGCAGACGATGTCTCAATCTAATAGGTTAGCCCATGTGAGGATACTCCAAAACACAGTGGGGGTCCCAAGAAAAGGATCTTCTCTTCTCTCTCTTTCCCTCTCTAAATTTTGTTATCAAAATTTTTATTGCAAATATCGTATTTTTTTCTAATTCTAATTTTACAAACTCTATTAATCTAAAATAAAAAGAAGATATCTTTCAACTTTTACAAAATAAAATAAAAAATAGACGTTGTCATTTTAAATTTTAAAACTTTGAGAAAGAAAAATATCACTTTTTATTTTTATTTGAAATGATATTTGAGACTCGCAAAACTCACCGCGTTATATTATAATAATTTTTCAGGTCATGTTATAGAACAAATTTGATAGATACTTAATTTTTATTTTAAAAAATATTTCTAACTCAAAACATCTATCTCTATTTTCATTAATGAGGGTTGTTATTGAAAAAAAAAATTAATTTACGACTTCTCAAAATGACATATTTTAAAAAAATGAGGGTGTAAAAAATAAAACATATCTATAACTTAATTTAAGTAAGTGTTTTGGAATTAAATAACTCTACTATGCATGCATTAAAAAAAAATCAAATCTATACACTTTTACCATATTAGATTTTGATACATAAAATTATAGAGAACTAAAGTTGACACTTACAGAGGGAGAATTTCTCATTATAGTGTTACAATAATGCTAAGAAACTAATTGTTGGCTCCTTAGCATTCCTGTATAGTGTAATATAATAATGGTAAACAACTTGATGTCGCTTAAGCAAGGTCTCGAGTTTGAGTTATTGTGGATGCAGAAAACCCTTGTTGGGAGACTCATCCACCACTGTCAGGTGTGCGACCTGAGTCAACCAATGAATTATATGGAGCATAGCTCCGGATACCGTGACTGGCTACAAAAAAATAAAAATTAATGCTTTCGTTTCTTCTTTATTTAATCAAAATTCAATGGGTAGCCCGTAATGTATTAGATTTCATGCACAAATACAGTCTACAACCTACACGATAATGATCTCTACACCTAAATGTTAATTCTTCTTAAGCGAGTCGATTAGTTATACTTTTGGACTAAAAATGTTTGTTTATGTTGAAATTATGTTTTAAAGTATGATATTTCGATTTGAAAATATACACGTTTATTAAAAAAATATTTTCGTCTAACTTTTAGGTCTAACGTGGCCTATAGCTTTCTTCTAATACCACATAAAGAAGGTATAACATCAAAGAGAGACACAACATCCTCAAACAACTTCCTATCCTTAGAGCATCTCCAACCCGCACTGCATATCTGGCGGAAACGGCAATTGTGGAGGAAAATCCTCTCCAACCCACTCTCTTAATCTGGCGGAAACGACATGCTTAATTTTGTGGAACGGTTTGGCAATCATTCCACTGTTCACCCGCTTGATCTTTTATTTTATTTTTTATATTTTTTTTATAGTGTTAAAAATGAAATTGGGTTATTTCTTAAGCCAATTTAGATGTATTTTGGTTGGACTTTAAAATTACAATTTGGCTAATTAGATAATTAGTTTTATGAGTTTAATTAAAATATTTTTATACATGTTTTAAACGTAATTATTGTAATTAACATGGTAGAATTTTAACTAGTGTAATGAAAAATTGAATAATTTATTAATTATTATGATATAATATTAATTAGTATTTAAATTCCCCATCTGGAAAACCTAACCAGATAGGAAAGGGTAGTGCCAATCCATTGGTCAAAGTCAGAATACATACACCTTGACGCAACGGCTAGAGCCCCGCTTTGGGTTGTGGGGCTTACTTCCTAGCCCCAGTGGCAATGGTTAGCATGATAATCAAGACACCCCAAGTTCGACCAACAGGCAGAATGGAATACTAGGACCTCTCCCCAACAAACTTTAATTATTATGATATAATATTAATTAGTATTTAAATTCTCTTAAGTAAATATTATAAACAAACAAATTAAAATTACAAAAAAAAAGATAAACATTCAACTCACTTTAAATTAATGGTACAAACACTAAAATTAAAATAAAAACATAAAGATAAACTAAAAACCCATCTTAAAGCTCACACATAGTACAACAACGATAATTAATACGGAACGTAAAAACTAAAAAGTATTATAAAATAGACGATTTAATAGACTTAATTGTCACCATAATAATCATTCAAATTTCCTCTGGCATGTCCGATGTCGTCAAGAAATCCAAATTGATCCGTGTTAGATGATGGTGGTGTTGCTTGAGATTGTTGTTGCTCAAATTCTCTTTCTTGCAAAATTTGCATTTGTTTTTGTTCCCAATGTCGATGGATCATGGGATTCGTAATGGTATTCAAATCTATCATCAGAATTCTATCTTCATCCCTCTTTTTCTGCAAATCAAGTTGTTGTTTCTGCAATTGAAGTTGGACATTTTGACGTTCTTCGGCCTTCTGCAACAAATCAACAATACTATCACTTTTAGCATTTAGAGTATTAAAATACTGACAAAATTGGTCTTCATTTTTCTTCTTTAATTTTGCTTTCTTCGCTCCCATTGGACGTTGAGAGGACGTTCCACCAACACCATTGTCGCTTTGTTGAGGACTAAAAGACGAAAATCCCGGAGACTCTGGTGTTGGTTGTCCATCATATGGAACATCGGACTCAGAAGAGTCATTGAGTGTATCGAAATCCCGACGAAGAGATCGTGGTTGGGAGACATTATCATCAAATTTTCCAAACTCTTTGAATAGTCGGAACACATGTTGGAACTTGAAGCCATCTTTATATTTTGGGTCTTGTTCAAACAATCGTTCGGCTTGTTCAATATACAAACAAAGTAAAAAAATATATAATTGTAAGTATACCTATAAAACAAGCAAATAACATGAACCAAGATTGAACTTAAAACAAAGTACTCACCCTATCTTGGATTTGTGTCCCACTAGGATTGAGATATTCGATTTGCTTCAAGCATCCATTAAACCTCCGACAATGAGTTTCCATGAGACGGTAACGAGAGTCAAGAGACCTTATAGAGCGTTCTGGTAAATCCTTGTGTTTTTGGGAGTTGTATTCATCATATATTTTTTTCCAAAAGGTTGAAGAACTTTGGTCATTTGATGATATTGGATTCTGTGAAACACTAATGTAGCATCTCACAATTAAGACATCTTCGGGTTTGGAGTATTTTGGGCCTTTTGAAGAAGACATTTTAAAGAAAATAAGATATTAAAGAAGAGTGGGAAGAAGAACACTTCAATAATGAAGAAGAAATGAGATATGTGTATTTTGTTTCTTAAAGTGTGATCTATAAATAGAGAAACGAATTCACATGCAAAACTAAGTATAGTGACTATAAAAACGAATCCAATGCAAGAGAAATCAATGTCACTTAATTGTTTATTTATTTGTCATTCAATATAAAGAATCCAATGATTCAAAGTACTGTCAAGCCAATAGCATTGTCCAACAATAATGTAGTGTAATAATGATCACATGGCCTTGTTTAAAATTATTGCATTTGTCATTGTGTTGGTCAAATTTCTTTCACATGACATTGTCTGAAAAGTAATTCAATGGTTAGAGCCTCTCCAGCGCAGCGCTAGATGAGGCGTTTTGCGCTGGAGTAGAGATGAAATCTGCTCCAATGCTGCGCCGGAATTTAACGCCAGATGAGAGGAGTGAATAGTGTTGCGCCACATGTGGCGCAACACTATTCATCGACGCTACATTTTTTTTTTGTATCATTATTGGTAAATTTTTGTATAATGTGTATTAGTAAATGTATTTTTTATGCTAAATAATTTGTACAATGTATATTTTATGCTAAATAATTTTGTGCTTTTTATTTATTGATGTATTATAATTTTATTTTATAATTTTTTAATATTAAAATGATGCCATATGAATAAAAATTTAACACACTCAAACAAGTTTATTTCATATTTACAGTCTAGACCATATATTGTTTTAGGGCATATATTCATTAAGAAAATCTAGACTGTAAATATATGCCATAAACCATATATGGTCTAGACCATATATTCCCTAAATCA